TCCCCACCTTGAAAACCCTAGGAAGCAGTTCTCTCTGCATTGTTGGGGTCGCCGTCAGTGGGATTAGCTCAATGGTAACGAATACTGACTGCAACAATTCTGAGACAGGGGTCAGTGAGGGTCCCGTGGTGGAATTCTTGCCTTGCTTGCAGGGCACCCAAGGTGGATTCTCAGCCAATGCTCCTGGTGATGCAGAATGCCACCACCTGTCACTGGAGACTCACATTGCCGTGATGGCTTATAAACAGGTTTCAGAGGATGCAGCTTCTGGGCTGCCCTGGACTCGGAAGACAGCCCTGACAATGTACTTTTGAATCCGCCTAGGAAAACCCTGTGAATCACAGCATCCAACCTGCCAATTCTATCCCAGGGAAGGCAGAGGGCTGGGGACTGTTCCATTGTGCATGGGGCCCCCATGAGTCAGGCGCTGAGTTGGATGGGAGCTAATGACAACAGACAGCACGGATGCAGAGCAACCCACCGGAATGTATCTCCCACTCTGTCGTGGAAGTAGATGAAGTTTTCATGGTCAATCATAAGGAGATCCCCACTGTTGAAGTACAGGTCTCCTTTCCTGAAGACATCTCTCAGTTTTTTCTTCTCAGTCTGAGCCTTTCCTCCAGCATAGCCACTAAATGGTGTCAGCTGTGAGATTCTGCAAATGAGGAGTCCAACTTCACCTGAGACAGACGAGAAACTGTCAAGATACTTGCTGCAAGCAACCAAGCTGTATCTTCGATCTTCTCTTAACAGATGCCACACAGCCCACTGGCAATCACCTGGCTGCGGTAAGGTTCCCTGCACACAGATGCATGCTTCAACGACACAGACACATTACACAGCCACAGCCTTGATTCTACAAGATCAGATATTTGTAATTCTTTCAGAGCTAGTCGTTTATTGAACTATTACTTACACACTTCATCAGACCAAAGCGCAGCACTCAGTTTAAATGTAAAGACCACCGAAGGCTAACTATAATTTTATAGCCTAAATACACATTGCTTTCTACACAGGGGTTACCTCTGAAGCAAGAAGTTGTTCATCTAGGTTGACCGTTATAAGCCTGTTACGTAGAAGGGGTAGGCTGACACCCTTTGGCATTTCTGGAACTATGTTCGAGGGAGCTAAGTAAAGTTCTCTTTTTTTCTATTCTGAAAAAAGAGATGACCATGCGCGCATTTGGGAAATCAATGCGTTCTTTTTCCAAAGGCACTTGGCCAAAGTAAGAAAGGTGCAGGTGAATTAGCAAAAGGGCAGTGTACCTTTGGGAACTTTGATGCAATAGCCATTGACATCTCGGACGGGTTCATCTTTCTCCACGTCGTATTTGATCAGCTCATAAGACACGATTTTCTGGCAAAATGAAGACATTTTATTTTGAGTGCAAATTCTGTAAGGAAATTTTCTTTTTTTTTTGGTTAATTGTGCTATAACATATAAACAATAAGACACGTGAAGTACACTCATGTTTAACTTGAGTTTTTACAAATTTCATATTACTACCAACCAGATCCTGAGAAAAAAACATTGAATCACCCCGAAGAGTGTCTGTGAGATTTCTTTTGCTGTTTGTATAAATGAAAGAGCCCGGTGGCACAGTGGGTTATGTGTTGGGCTACTAACCAGAAGGTTAGCAGTTCAAACCACCAGCTCCTCCTCCTCAAGAGAAAGACGAGGCTTTCTGCTCCCACACAGGTACCCACAAGGGCAGGTCTGTCTACTCAATCCTACAGGGTCACTATGAGGCAGATTGACTCAATAACACGGTGGTTTTTCTTTTGTTGAAGTTGTATCAGTGGTCTATTTTTTATTGCCATGGAGTTTTTCCTTAAATAAATATACTATAATTGATCGAACTATTCTACTAATATGTGTTTGGATTATTTCTAGTTTAGAAATAATTGTATTTTCTAATTTCATTTTCTATTAATTTCTATTTTACATAAAGTTGCTAAGAACATTTTCACATGTCTTCCAGTGATATCAGAAATGTTTTTGTCAAAAAATCCTGTGTAACCTTTTATTAATTTGATACTCATTTCCAGAGACTTGCTCAAATACACAAATACACAAGGGTAAGTCATAAAGTATAGCTACCAAGAATTCAGTGCATACATGCATGGATTTATTCCAAACAAATGTGTTTACACATGTCTCAGCGATCATCGGAAGACTACTGATGGCTCGCTCTCTCAGTAGTACGGTTGTCTGAGCCTCACTAGGTTGCCTTAAAAGAAGATCCAATCAACACACTGGGTCCCCAGGGTTTCTGCTGGGCCAGCTGAATTCAAGGCAGAGGGGTCAAAGAAGAAGATTATGGTGATTAAAAAAAATTCCCAAGGAATCATCT